TAAGAAAGGGTCTGATAAATATAACCTGCTGAAACAATATCTACACTTTAATCATTTCTTTCTGATGCCTGGTTAATGAAAATGCAGTTGTTTTCCATATGAATTACTCTTTAACATGTTTATTTTATATACTTTCACACTTGTAAAGAGATATTTTTGACCAATACATATATTTATACATTAATATAATGTTTACCTCTCAAGTGTCATGCCTTGAGCTTTATGTATAGTTAGACCAAAGGCAGGTTTCAATGGGTACTGCTGTCGTGTAGCTAGGTCTCTATTCAGTCTTGGACTGTACACTGAAAATGGAAAGAACTAAAATTATAACATTTTATAGCAGGGGTTCCATTTGACTATTGAAAATGGGTTTTGATCCTTGATATTTGCCCAAACCTTAATTTTGACTCACAGAACTTCAGCTGAAGGGTCATTCTTCATGACACAAAGGTACATTTTCACCCAAAACAGGCAAAATCATAATCTAGCTACTTGCAATCAAAATGACCCTTAAGTTTCAGCAGCTAGTGGAACCATTGTGTCATGTGGTCGATATTCGTGTTTTTGAATATCGTTTTCATGTATCATTTTGTCTTTGTATTTGTATATATATCTCTTGTATTTGTCTGTTTACAGTCCGATATACAATCCATTATCCCATATCATTCCTATATCATTCCATTTCATCATCTCATTATAACAACTAATTTCTCATATTTCATTCTGACATAATTTGCATGCCGGGCCTCAGTTTTTACAAACTTCCCGGAAAAACCATCTCACGCATGCGCACTTTGATATAAATATTTCTATTGGTTTGCGCCAGAAATTGTTGTCTTGTTTATTTATTTATTTATCAAGGCGTATGTTTATGTCCTTACAGGTAATTGTTGTTATTCATTATGTTTCATTATCATGCATATTTCCATTGATCGTTTATGTATTTCGGATCTGTATTTATGCACTTTGATATAAATATTTCTATTGGTTTGCGCCAGAAAAAAAAAAAAATATGTCACGGTTCAGAACTGTTCACTATTTAGGGGAGAAGATGTGTAAGCGGCTGGATAGCTCAGTCGGTAGAGCCGCGGAACGGTATTCCGAGGGTCCCGGGTTCGAGTCCCGGGACCCTCGGAATACCGTTCCGCGGCTCTAACGACTGAGCTATCCGGCCGCTTACACATCTTCTCCCCTAAATAGTGAACAGTTCTGAACCGTGACAATTGTTATAGTCATGAAAAGTAATTACACTCAATTAAAAAAAATCAACAGGAAAAAGAATACATCAGTAAGTTTTGTTTACTAGTAAACGTAAATGTAAACATTACCTGTAAAACTTATTTTTGGTATTGTTCTTGTAATGTTGATGCTGGGGAATTCTATTACTGGTCCTGATCCTTCCAGAATATCTTTGACAAACCCTTGAAGTCCATTTACCAGTTGATTTGATAGGTTACGCATTAATATAACTGGGCATCCTATCTTAAGCCACAGAATGCTTGGTACAGAGATTTTGGATAAGTCTGATGCATTGCCACTGTCTTCAGATTTATACTCATACATACTGCCAGGAAATTCTAAAAGACACTGTCTATTATAATCATCAACTAAGTCGTTCCTGGCAAACAACTTTACTGTATGTGATGTCAGATTATCTAGTGGCCTGTTCAATTTTGCAATAAAATTTTCCATATCTGGAGAAACATGGCCATCAAACACTCCATTGATTGTTTGCATAAGCTTACTTTCAGACTGTCTCATATTTTCTTCTAATACTACTCTGTGTGGAAAACAGGTACTGAAATCATTTGATTCAAAACAGTACCGGCCACTGTCACCATAAGGTAAATTTTCTACAGGAGGCAATTGCAAGAAGTCACCGCAAAAAATCATTTGAATTCCACCAAAAGGACGTTTAGGATCTTTGATCTTGCATACATTGTTGATTGTGTCAAATAACTTTTGACTTATCATTGAACATTCATCTAGAATAACAGTATCAACTTTTGAAATGTTGTCAAGCACATACTCATATTTCCTGTTATTCTTTACAACGTCTACAATTTCCCCTGGCCCATGACGCCCGTCAGAAATTCCGGTAAACTGATGGATGGTACATGCATTCTCATCGTATACACAACATGCTATGCCTGTTGAACATGTAATTTGCACTGTTTTTCCCTTATTCCGAAGGCGTTTGACAATTTCTTTTAACACAAAAGATTTTCCAGTTCCAGCTCTACCTAACAGAAGAAGATTATGACCTTCAGTGGAGATATCAACGGCCCTTTGCTGATAAAAGTTCATTTTCACGAAGAAAAATGTGCGTTTTACAAAAACACCTGATGTATACATCCGGTTTATTGTTTACTCTTTTCACATTGCATTTTACATGGAAAACCGGGAACTATATCGCCTTGAGCGAGAACCAATGAAAGGACTCGATACACCGGCTGGTCACGTGACCGGGGTTTCCCAAGATGTCTACGTCGATGCAGAATTCTGCTCTGATTTGAAGATTTCGTTCTAAACAGGCAATTGTTGAGCGCTTCACGACTATTTGCGCAGGTAGGTAAAAGAAACTATGTTGAGTTATTGTTTGCATGCGTTTGTTTGTACCTCCCCCATTTAAAATTGATATTTTACCCGTAGAAATTGGTGTTGCGACATCTCGTACGACTAAGCAATTTTGTGACTGAAGTGAACGGTTTTGAAAAAATTTCTTAAAGTGGGCTAAGGGAATCAGAAAAGAGTTAGTGTTTATCAATTGTGGATTGAATAAGCTATGCAACGCAGTATAGTTTTTGGAAATATTTTATTTAATAAGAGGAAAATCTCGCATGAACTTGTGGTTGGTCGAAAATTCTCTATTTAGCGAGTAATGCCCCTTGTCTATATTTATATACATATTATAAGGCTATGACTAAAAACTCATTTTAAGGTCACTATCAAGCAGTACATACCATCCAAACACTGTGTGGGCCCCCTGTGGGTTGAATGATAAACTAGTTGGCAAATGACAACCGGTCACGTGTCAACCTAGCTGTTTGACACTTACCGCCTTGCCAATCCACTTTCAAGGGAATATCAATTGTGTAATATTATGTAATACATGGGTAATAAAATGTGATATTTAACACCCTGCTGTTTTAAATTAAATTACTGATGAAAAAGTCACCTAATGATACCTTGAACAGAGGACTTTGGGTCCTTGAATTATAAGTCCCGCTAATTTTGTGTATCTGTTATAAATATCAATTCACGTTTTAAGTACTTACCGCTTTAATTCATCTTTCTGGGTGACATAACTTGAAATCACGCCTTTTAAAGCCCTTAAGTACACTAAAATGTATTCTATCTTTATTGAGCTTTTGCCCCACGCAGAATGCGCATGCGCGAAATGCATCATACGTTGCTATGGAAAAATCGTACTATAAAAAGGTCTATATTTACGCGTGCGTAAAGCCTCGCTTGTTGTCACTGTTTACATCTATTTCAGAAACTTGCTGGGTAAAAAAAAACGAAAAAAAACCAACAAAACGTTAAAAAAAACCCAAACAAACAAAAAACAGCAAATAAAGGAAAAAAACACTCAAAGTTGATGTAATTACATTTGTCTTTATTCTGTTTAAGTTAAAAGAAAGGATTGTCAAGAAATAATCCCTTTTAAGCACATTCATGAGCTAGTCATAATAATAGGAAATGACAGGATAAAGTTTGTCTTTTTTGTACTTGCATTTCCTATTTTCTTTCCACGGTAACCGTCAAAACTTTAAAAACAAAACTGTGGAGAAATGGAGAATTATCACAGCTAAACATAACCTCTTTGGTAATGAGAAATGATAATGTAGTATTTTCAACTTTTGACAAAAATAAAATGACATCAATAAATATTATAAAATACAAATAATTGTAATAACAGATAATAATGTTTCTAAGTATTAAATATTGCCTCACTGGCAGTTTGATAATGAAGTATTTTTCACTTTTGACAAATATAAAATATAACAATAAATACAATAAACGAAAGAAATAAATCTCAGCCCTTAAAAAAATTCCCATAATATGATCATAGGAGTTTGAAATTCTATAAACACTGATCAATGAAATAAAAACCTATGATTATCATAATTATTACAGAGTTTATTGTATGATATTCCTAATTTACTGATAATCTGGTAAACTGCTAAATAGTAGCCTATCAAGTTCCCTGATAACTTACCTGCTCAAAGCTACAGTGGAGCAAAGGTGATATGTGTGTGTTTTTATTTATCTCGTGCGCACGAGTAACTAAGTCGTGGCCACGAGATAAATAGATAAATAAGTCGTGTGAACGAGATACTATGTCGTGGCCAGGAATTACTAAGTCGTGGCCACGAGATAATTAAGTTGTTGGAACGAGATACCATGTCGTGGCCACGAGTTACTATGTCGTGGCCTCGAGTTACTATGTCGTGGCCTCGAGTTACTAAGTCGTGGGCACGAGATAATCAAGTCGTTGGAACGAGATACTATGTCGTGGCCACGAGTTACTAAGTCGTGGGCACAAGATAATTAAATTGTGGGAACGAGATACTATGTCGTGACCACGAGTTACTTAGAGATAAATAACCAATCAGATTGCACTATTTATATGTATTTTCCTAATTTACTAGACATGTGCTATAGGACACAAGGATTCCCTTACTTCACCTGCCTGTAAAAGTGCCATTTATATAAGTTATTGATTGGTCCATGATTTTACATTTAGCGTAATTGGGACTCTGATTTTTACCCGATGACCTCAAAATTATTAGGTGTTATGTACTACTCAGGAGCAATGATTTTTCTAGGTTATATAAACCATGGCTTATTCCTTCTTAATTATTCATCAGACAAGGATTTTACATGACGTGTCATGGTTACCTTGACCTCAAACACCCTTAAAGGCGTTCTACTATCCATGAGAAATATCCCTACCAATCCAAATAAACCAAGACTTATTCCTTCTCAAGTTGTCGTAAAAACAAGGTTAACAGGCCCTTGTACGTAAAAAAACTGACCAATTCTATATCAGAATTGTCCCCACAAAGGGCTTTAACTGAGTCAGATTATTGTCTGATTTATGGGCCTTGGAAGGTGACTTTCTAATATGATCCCAAGGACATGGATTTATTTTAAAGTGAATATCTTCAGTATTTTCAAAGATTAATGTTGCATGTCAAATGTTAAACAGAATTTTTACTAAGTTAAATTGTAGTCCAATAACAAATTCAAGACAAACATTTAGTGCCCAATAACAACTTATTAGAAAGAAAGAAAGAAAGAAAGAAAGAAAGAAAGAAAGAAAGAAAGGAAGGAAGAAAGAAAGAAAGAAAAAGAAAGAAAGAAAAGAAAGAAAGAAAGAAAGAAAGAATAAAGATAATTTAATTAGTCAAAATCAAATAGTTCTGCATTTATCAAAAAATGATTTACTCACAAAACAATAATCATAAGCAAAGAAGCTTTATCTTTTCATGTTGTCAAGTACAACTACCAATAAATATTGTTTTATTGTTTTTAAAGGCATATTTGGTTAATGCTGTGACATACTATACAGTGCTATATAAATTATGTCTCGTGATTAGAAGAATCTTACATTCGGCACAGCTTTGGATTTTATCACTTAATTTAAACTCGTTTAATAAATTCAACAAGATCCTCAATATGTATTTATATAAATAATCAATATGTATTTATATAAATAATGGCTACACGCTTTCCTTGACATGATAACCAATAACCATTGAAACCCAACAACACATACGACTTAAAACGGAGCTGTTCTACATACACTGTGAATCTTTCTGGGGTTTTCTTCCCCATTGATGCCGGCTCGCCACGGCGAGCCGGTATTACGATAGGATTTTACTAAGAAACAACCTAAAACTCCGAATCCATCCAAAAATTTAATCGAAGCTTGGCTTCCAGCTTGCTACAAAATTTATCTGTCAGGGCTGGAATCCAAAATTATTTAGCCAATCAAATTTAATCTTACACAGCGTCAAAAAACCTTCAATTTTTCGAGCCATTTTTAAAAAAGCAGCAAGTATTGCTTTGAGCGCAAATATATAATGATGATTAAAATGTTTATTTCAATAAATCATATTTACACTGACTTTTGATTTAGCGATTTCACCTGTTTTCTCTGTAGTAAGTTTTCGTTTGGTTAATTAACATAAATGTACATCTGGTTCTGTGCATTTTTTTCTTTTTATTTTTTTCCGGTCATTTTATCCTTTCCGGTATTTTAGGATGGGGGGGGAAAATCCCTGGATCCAGGATCCGGGACGCCCGGGATCCGGGATAGTATTAGAAATATAGGGAAAAGGAATATAAACTATATTTGTGTTGATTATTTGTCGTTGAA